ATTTATGCATACATTCAATAATGAAGTCACAGAATTCCTCAAGGCTTCACCTGGACAAGTAGTCATGCTCCAGCCAGAGAAGTTTAGGTCTAAATATGAGCCAGCATCTCATTCACTAACAATTAAAGTAAGTTCTGAATCTTTATTGTTTGTGTGAGATCTTTGCAAACCAAGTATGACACTGTTGTGTTGTTAAAGTGTGGTAACATCAGAGGAATTTAAGCAAACTTTTGCGGGCAAAAAATGGTCCAATATCAGTAGTGAAGTGGCATATGAAGCACTGCTCACATAGTTGTTTAACGCAGCAAATTCATGTGACCAATTTGACCCCACTGTGAAATCTGAATGGGAATTTATTTTGAACTAATTTGTGAACGAACATTTAGTCAGTTTTCCTGAAAGATTTTCCTTGTTCTTCCTAAAGGACTCCACACCTGCTTCAGAAGTTCAAGAATTCTTCAAGAAAAACATACTACCTTTGGTTGGGCACAGAAAACAGAGCAACGATGGAAAGAGATACACCACACGACCTCTTGTGGTTGTTTATTACGGAGTAGACTTCAGTTTTGATTACAGAGTTGGTATGTGTTTAAGCCGTGGCTGTTGCAGCGCTTTGAAACTCTAAAAGGAATTAAGATAATGCCTATCGCTCACAATGCAAATGCTTTTGTTCACTACTGACACAATTTATCATCATTTCCACCCAGCCACACAGTTTTGGAGGAGCAAAGTGCTTGAAGTAGCAAAGGACTTCCCAGAGTACACATTTGCTATTGCGGATGAGGAAGACTATGCTGATGAATTGAAGAGCCTTGGACTCCGTGAAAGCGGGGAGGAGGTGAATGTTGGTATTCTCGGTGAGGGAGGGAAGCAATATGCTATGGATCCAGAGGAATTTGACTCTGATGTGCTCCAAAGCTTTGTCATGGCCTTCAAAAAAGGTAAAGTATTGGTGTGTTATGTATGTTACATATTCCTTATGAAAATGAACCTGATTTCTCCAGCTTCATCAGCCTTAATCAGAACTGATTGTTACAATGAGTTTAAGCCAGTATGGTAAGAAATGTTCTTCTAAGAATGCAAATGTAAGACTGACAGCTTTGTATGGGTGTAGAGAGAGCACTACTTTTGTCACTGTTAAAATCAGTGACTACATCCTTTTCTTCTCTGACAGGTAAGCTGAAACCTATTGTAAAGTCTCAGCCTATTCCCAAGAGCAACAAAGGACCGGTGAAGGTTGTGGTGGGCAATACTTTTGATGACGTTGTAATGGATACAAAGAAAGACGTCCTTATCGAGTTCTATGCACCATGGTGTGGCCACTGTAAGAAGCTGGAGCCAGATTACACGGCTCTCGGAAAGAAATACAAGAACGAGAAGAATATTGTCATTGCCAAAATGGATGCCACTGCTAATGATGTGCCTCATGACAGTTATAAAGTAGAAGGTTTCCCTACAATCTACTTTGCTCCCAGCAACAAGAAGCAGAAGCCAGTCAAATTTGAAGGCGGCAAAAGGGACGTGGAGGAATTAAGCAAATTTGTGGAAAAACATGCCACAAAATTAACACACAAAAAAGATGAGCTCTAAGAGATTTCGAGAAACCATGAACTTTGTATAAATGCAGTTCCCTGAGAATGGAAGCATTCTGGAGGGCTTGGTGACCTTCAGAAAAGAGAATGTTTTGATTTGTTTTGTACTTTCTTTTGCTTCTGGGATCAAAACATTCAGTATTTTCATTCCAAACCAAGCACTGTTTATTAGGTTTATTTCTCCCAAGTCTTTTAAATAAAATAATGTAAAAACACAAATGGAGTGGTTGTCATAAATAAGTTCCTGTTTGCATAATCTCAACAGGTTTAGTCTGACGTTATACATCACAGGTCCAAACGCTCCTTCAAGTCACCTTTATTTGTATAGTGCTTTATACAATACTGATTGTGTCAAAGCAGCTTTACAGTGTCAAACAGGAAAATAGTTTGTCAATGATGAAAGAAGACAATAACAGAGTCATTTGTCCAGCTAAAGTCAGTTCATTGATGATTCAGTGATGTCGTCATCATCCAGTTCAGCTCTCTTCCAGTAGTGTCTGTGCTATCAGTCAAGCGTCCCCAACTAAGCAAGCTAAAGGTGACAGTGGCAAGGAACTAAAACTCCATCGGTGACAGAAATGGAGAAAAAACCTTGGGAGAAACCAGGCTCAGTCAGGGGGCCAGTTCTCCTCTGGCCAGACGAAACCAGCATGTTGTGGTTTAATTCCAGGCTGCAACACCGGTGCAGAGGACTTGTCTGGTTCCCGTGGCCCTGTGTTCTTCAGAACCCAGAAACACAAAAAAAACTGTGCTTATATAAGTTCGCTGTGTGCTGTAGTACTACTGAAACATCACAATCCTGACCTTTATCTCATCTTAGTTGGCCAGATAGTGATTCACATTTTAAGAATTGTTAAAATATTGGTGTCCAGGACACCGTGAGCCTGGAGACAGTAGTGTACATTGGGAGTTTTTAAAAGCTTAGCTTAAAGGTCTTCTGTTAAGAAATAAAGCTCATAAACAGCTGTTAAAGATTGGATCTGGACCCTTGATATGTCAAGAATTAACAGGCAGATTCATTTTAAATCACATTTACAAATCTCTATTACAAATTCTTACAATTTTTTTGCAATAATTTTCCAAAGAAAACTTTGGCGTTTAGACTTTTCACTGAATCGGTTCCATCTGTTCACGATTCGGATTGATTCTCATTGAACCGAGAACTAATAAAGAGCCTAAACTTTAATAGTGTACGTTTAATAGTAAAACGTGCGGGAAATATATGTGGCAGTTTTATTAATACATATACGAAAAAATTGATTTAGCGTTTTATTTTAACGTTAATTTTTTAAACGGCAGTATGTGACTGCAGATGCAAACTAGCTTTATAGCCAACTCTGACAACACTGTTGTTTTGCGTTGTCCCTGTACAAATAAATTAAATACACTAAACTAAAAAACATCTCGGTTACGTATGTAACCTTGGTTCCCTGAGTAGGAGAACGAGATGCTGCGATGACGTCATCGCTTTGGGAACACCTTCGGTGTGACATATGTCTGAAGCCCTTATACCATCACGCCAATTCATTGGCCAAATAGCGCTTAGCACCGCCCCCAAAGCTCACGTAGGTGAGCTATATAGCGTGCTGCGCGCTATTTTCATTTCCCTAGCCCTGCGAGGAATGAGTTGACGGAACGCAGCGTACTGCTGTTTCGCTGCTCTAAACTTCTCCACGACCGTAGTGACCGAGTCTCCGAACAGACCGTCACTCGAAATGGGGGCGTCCAGGAGAAAGGGATAGCGGGGGTTAGACGCGAGGCCTACTTTATTTGAGAAGGCCGCGAACCTCGAGCGCAGTGCTTTTAGCCGTAGGCTATCACAGTGTCGACAATCAGAAAGGCCGCTAAGCGCCGCTTGGGCGTGTTGTAGGCCCAAACATTGCACGCACCTGTCATGAGTGTCTCCTCCTGCGATGAACCTGTCACACGGCTCGATGCATCTCCTGTAGCTCATCGTGTCCGCTGAAGAGGAGTAAACTGCTCTTTTGAAGGAATTAGCTAAGAACACGACAAAAAGAACGTTTTCCTACGGGCGACAGATGATTCGCTTCCTGAAGGAAATGAAATCTGATGAAAATAGCGCGCAGCACGCTATATAGCTCACCTACGTGCGCTTTGGGGGCGGTGCTAAGCGCTATTTGGCCAATGAATTGGCGTGATGGTATAAGGGCTTCAGACATTCGTCACACCGAAGGTGTTCCCAAAACGATGACGTCATCGCAGCATCGAAGTGAGCCTATGAGAGGGAACTATATATGGCTTTTTTTGGACGAATTAGAATAGACCATACAAATGATATGATGACGTAGGAGTCTCTCTGAATCATTTATCAAACTCTTCTAAAGAACCGACTCCAGGATTCGGATTGGCCACCAATTGTACGCAGATGGCATTGCCCCAAGTAAAGAGATTATCTGGGAGATGTGCTTTTTGTGGGGTAATAGAAACCGTTGAACATGTAATATTAAAATGTCGGAAATATAATATAGAGAGAATTAAAATGATAAAGAACTTAAATGGTAATAATAAAGAAAAAAGAATTGGATATTAGGAAAAGGATTAAGAGAAGGTATTAATCAAAGAATAGTAATGGAATATATAGTAGAAACAGGATTAAATAAACGAATTTGATAGTTAAATAAATAAATAAAGCAAAGGAATAGGGGAACACACAAGCTGGGTTTTTTGGCATGGGAACAACTGAACACGCAGCAGCCAGAAATACAGCTTGGGTGAGCCCGAAATAAAATTAACAATTAAAAAATAAATAAATAAAATATGAATAGAGGCGGGACTATCATCCATGTATGATTAGAAACAGTTGGTGGCGGTATGTGCCTATGGTTTCGCCAAAAAATTCCAAAGAAGAAGAAGAAGAAGAAGATTCTCTGGGAGTGGGTGGTACTTAATGAACCGGGTGACCCAAGTCCAAACAGTCTGCAGGAAGTCCCTCAGTTCAATGCGAAAATAGAATAACATGTTGACTATCGACTTACTGACCGTATGGAACTGTTTTCTCCCAGTATTTACCACAACAGCAGCATGGTTTTCCTTCTGTCTGTACTAAAAGAAAGTAACGTGAGCTTAAATCTTTGCATTATACTGTATCGCAAACACATTACAACTGCTGCTCTTTGCTGACATAATTCACGGCAATGATTAAAAACCCAAAGACGAACACTGGCATACTGCGCGCTTTTTTACAATTTTACAAAAATGTATTCGTTCAAAATCAAGAACAAAGAGAACTTCTTCACATGTCCCCCACTGCAGTCACGCATCCGATTCGCCCAATCCCCGATAGGATCTATCCAATCGAAAATCGTAACATTGAACAGCTCGAACATGGCTTGTTCTGATTGGCTGATCTGTTTGGCGCTCGTTGATTCTGCAGTGAGCGAGGTGGGCGGCGAATTCTGAGTATAAACGACAGACTGAGCGGGTTTGAATATTTGGAGAAACGGAAATATTACTAATTTACATATATTTCAAATTTATTTCAGTTCGCTTACAGTCTGCTGTGGTTAAGAGAGAAGTAGACGTCTGGCCAAACAGATACTCGTAGAACTAAAGACGAATTAAGCGCCTGTCTTTTGTTTATCGAGGCTCGCCGGTATTGGTAACGCGGACGCGCGGAGGTGAAAGGACCCTCTGCCGCGAGCTAGCTGAGTTAGCTAGCTCAGTTTACCGATCATCTTCACGTAGGGACGGCGCTGACAGACTAACAGAAAAGTCGTTTGTTTGGATGTGGACAGGTCTCTTCCTTCAGGTAGGCACTAGAAGAAGACACTAAAGAGACAGTTGTCTGAGTGTTAGTGAAACCACGTTTACTTTCTGGTTAAGACAGCCCAGCTAACCAGTTAGCGACTAACTTTACATTGAAACACGGCAAAGACAGCAGTCATGTTAGATTATAGACAGTTTACTAGTCATTCATGTTATACCCTACTGTCGAGACTTAACGAAGTTTAAAGGATAATTCAACAGAAAAGCGAAAAATATGTAATCATTTACAAACCCTCATGTTGTTTCAAACCTCTTTCTTTCTTCCGTGAAAGGAAACAAAGGGGATGAAAGAAATGACAGTCTGTCACCATTCGCTTTCACTGTATTGGAAAAGATGCATTAAACGTAAATGATGACTGACATTCTTCTTAACATCTCCTTTTGTGTCAAAAGAAAAAAAAAAGTCAGGTTTCGATGACAGTAAATGATGACAGTTTTCATTTTTGGTTGAATCTTTTTAGGATCTCAGTTGTCAACCTTTTATTAGTTCTTCAGTGTTTATTTCTAATTTGTCATTACAATACTTGCTGATTTTGTGAAGTAGTGTGAGTAAACCCGAGTAAACGTGTTATAAGGTTTTGTTTCAGTTTTCAGTCAGGCGTCGTTTCAATGTGTGTGTTAGACCAGCAGGGGCGCCAATGAGCTCATACACCTGTCACAGCTACACCAGGGATAACATAAATCCCAGATTTGGGAATAAAAGTGTACATAATGCAATCTCAGAACTTCATATTCTGGGTCATATAAAGTTTATTCGTGGTTCAAAAGGGGCATTCATTTTCCTTTACCTCTTATTTGTTCAGTTTTCTCACGTTACTACATTTAGATTATGTGAATTTGTGTTGCTGAGATGACTGGGAGAACTTGTAGGAGGGAAAACCTGTGAACTTACAAATGACACTTTGTCACTGTATCGCACTGTCTCGGCTGCTCTATTACATATTCAGCCTACATATCCGCAGCATGTTAGGTAATCTCTACATCAATTTAGTTGGCTTTTACACTCTAGTAGTTCTCAGAGGAAAGTATTGTTGCTCTTTCATAGCTCAGAAGACTTAAAGGAGCTCTCAGGTATGCTTCAAATTAGGAGAAGTTTCAAATGAAGAGAAATAAATTAGGAGACTCTAATAATACTATTGATGTATGGTTAGTAGGGATGCACCGATAGGATTTTTTGGGACCGATACCGATTTTAACAAACACTTATTGGCCAATTCCAATACCGATATTTGCCACTTTCTCTCTTACTTGAAATTTTGGCATCAAAATAGTATTTTGATCATGTTTTAAATCAGCAAAGTTCAAAAACACCTGCATTAAATTATACTAGCATTTTTATTGCTGCATCATCAAATAATTTCTAATGAACATGGATTGGATCCATTTAACATTCAGCAGGCCTACATAAATACAACAGAACAAAGATACATATTAAATAAACACTGCTTTTTAGGTAGGTTTAACAGTTTTCAGGTACAGAAATAAAGTAAACAAATGTAAAATAACACTTCACTGTAAATGTAAAATTACTGTAAAATTAAATACATATTAATCCTTCTTTATTGTAACAGACTTTATTTTGATTTATCTTCTAATTTGTTTTTGTATACATTTTAATATATATATTTTTAAGTTAAAATATGTATGAGATGTCCTTTACTAAGGCGGGACTCTTATTTTGACTGGTTTTGTAGTCTACGGAGCAGCTATATGGGTAATGAAAGCATGCAGTTCTTCGGATTTAAAGTTTGTCAGTGTATTAAAAAAGGCATGAAATCTTTATATATTTGTTTACTGTTAGTTGTAATAAGTGTTTTGTGTAATTCACTGTATGTTGATGATAATGCAACTGAGAGAGAGAGAGTTTAATGTGCACTTCTTGTGCTGTGTTTTGTTTAGCTCTTATGGTGATTTTTTTGGAGTGAGTGAGGACGCAATAAACTTAATAAAACATCAGTAAAGTTTTGGTCATCATTCAGATGAGGTCCGCTACACATATGAAAGTTACAAAAGTTATTTAGTCAAGAATAGTGTGCGATTTTTTGTTATTTGATTAGCATTAAAGTGCAGACAGCAGCGCTAGGATTATGCAACAGACATTATACAGCTCAGTGCCTTCACGCAGTTAAATAATAAACCATCGGTTTGTTATATCGGCCTTTTTCCTTATATAGCCGATATGCCGATGGTTGTAAATTGAGGAAAAATCGGC